CCCCCCCCCCCCCCTTCCGCCAACAAGACGGATGACTCACAGCCCTCAGTTTCTGCCCTTCAGGTTCATTAAATGAAATAATTAAAATATTACACATTTACTTACAATTTTATTCTGTACGCATCTCTAAAGGATGTATTTGTGTAGTTAATTGTTATTAAACTAACTTAAATTGTTGTGCTTATTCACCCTCAAAATCACTTTTATGATCTATGATATGAATTACCCGTAACGAACTGCCTTTTCAACATGGGCGTCAGAACCTCCGTTTAGTCGCACTTTATAGTAAGGACGGGTCTCGAAGACTCGCTGTAGTTGAAAAATGAAAGTGTGATTTATAAACTCGTCCGGTGCCTACCTATCAAGAAAAATAATTTGATACACGAATAAGCCAGAGCTATAGAGAACACATTATATAGAAATTCTCGATTATCTATAACTGATATGTGAAGTTTAGAAGTGAGTATGAATGGGAGATATAATACGAGATCAGCAAAGACACAAGAGTTATGAATCTTTGTTGAACAGGGGAGGGGTCAATTACTTTTGCTGTGTAAATTCTACACTGGCGACTTCCCGAAGATAAGAAAGAAAAGTAACATAAAGCAAGATTAATAACAATCAGCGCCATAAAATCTTCTCGGGGTGTTCCCAGCTTAGGTTCGGAGCGGCAGTATATTTATTTTCGGAGCCCTTCTTTGCCACCATCATGAGGAAATTAATTGCGACGACTAAATAAATAAGAACCTTCCTGAAGAGAATCGGATTCAGTGTGTGTCGGTACCAGGTTCAATCTGCCTTCTGAGGGAAACTGCAGCCAGAACGACATTCACTGACGATGGAGGAAAAGAAAAGCAGTCACGTGACAGGTATATAAGGAATTCTATTCAGTACACAAGTATATAACCCACGAAAATAAATAAAGCTTAGCCTACTTCCGTGTAAATAACGCACAAGATAAAATGGAAGGGTGGAGCATAACGATTACTTTGGAAAGAGTACCGTCTTTTGAAATATGTGCGAAATTCAGCGCAGTCAGTTCTGTTATGTGCTCCAGGCTTCGAGACAAAATGTCATCAGCTGAATAAATGGGTGTAAAATAGAGGTAATTTATAGAATTTAATGCATCAAAGACTTCTTGCATGACGTGTTGTCAGTATCATGAATGACTGTTGGTATGTATCGAAAAAATTATAAGTACTATCCTGTTACAGCAGCTTTAGGTATAAAATTCATAAAATCTTTTGCTATAACACGCGCAGAAAAAGAGATTTGGTCCATGTTTCCATTTCAAATCATTGGTCTTGCTTCAGAATTAGCACAGATGAACACGAAAACAATTGAGCGCTGATTTTTACTAGCTGGACAGGGCACTCGAAGATAGATGTCTATAATAATAATAACATTAAAGTGAAGGCGGAAATAATTTTAAATGAAAAAGCTCAAAGTGAATATAATTTTAAAATCAGACTATAAATTATGGATGTCGGTTTGATTTTCCTGTATAGGAAATTGGGTGGCTTCCAGTATCTTGTCTGGACGTATCACCCGCACTGATAATATAACCCAGGTCGTTCACCCGTTAAGAATTGAAGTGTCACAGCCTGTGGTCTTACGTTTTGTTATATCTGTATAGTGTTTTAAACTGAAGATTTTTCATCTGCGGATGGCAGTGTGTGCTGTTTTATATTTTTAATACGTATTTTTATCTTTAAGAAAACGGTATATTTTTTTTGTCTGATTGTGTTTAAGCCCCCCTGCTCTCGGTAATGTCGAAATACCTTTACGTAAAGCTCCTCCATTATGTAGAAATTTGCCTTTGTGAAGTTTCATATTACACTCACCAAACAGTGATTCCATGCATTAGGTTAGGTTATACGATAATTTAGCTCTCTAGTGTCGCCGAACGACGACTGTCACGTTTTCGATGCTTCTGTGCATTTCCTGGCTTGTGCCCTCGTGAGCCAATCAGCTTCAGAGAGTTTCTTCAAGCTTGAATCATGCGCCATTTGTACATAAACCTGTCTCTCCGTCTGTAGGGCACTTGGTCTACCAATACCAAAACTGCATGCACCCCTGATAACGGAGACAAAGAATGTCTCCGAAACGTTGGACTACGTCTCCATTTTGACGCTGCTTGTCGCCTGAGAGGATTTTGTTAAACAAAAGAACGTAGGTGAATAGATGATAATAGAACATCAGTAGGATGATGATTGGCAAGGAGACACCGATGCGCTGGAAGAAATGTTCTGTTGTCGAAAATGGTGGGAAAATGCTGAAAGTGCAGTTCAGTTTTCATGACGTAATTATTCTCGCCCGGAATAAATACAAACTAACACTGGACGGGCAAGTGACAGACTTCGGTCGTTAAAGACATGAACTTCTTGCACCGGACTTACGACAGCGTTCGAGAGAACTCTGGTAGCTAGGCATTATTATAGTTATATCGTATTCGTAGGTACTTTAACGACGCTGTTTCAACTGCGTCCAGTGAGGCAGGGTGATGACAATAAATGTTGGAAATTTGTGGTAGCGACGTTACTCTCTTGGCATTAGCCTGCTGTAGGGGTACTCAAACTTTTTCAGACCGAAGGCCAAATTCACACTTGCGTATCATCTAGTTAGCCGAAAGGTTGTCAATGAAGGGAAATTGTTTAAACTTTGCGAAAATTATTTAAAACAATACTATTAATTTGCTATTGAAAATAGGTCGACATTTTACACAGTAATCAGTCATTAGATATTTGACACCTGCTGTTTGATTAATCTTTCAGTTTAACCGCTAACTTCGTGTATATTGCCCCGATTCATATGCACCGGTCGAAGTATTCATAAATAAGCTCTTGATTTGACGTTGTTCATTAAGGTGAAAAGTTGCTAGCGGGGATAGTTGCTTTCAAATACCCTACGGACGACAATAATAATGCGTGTTTCATGATACTAGGGAAATGTTCTTCATCAAACAATGTGAAACAGTGGAGACATTATAAAAGATTGTCGGGTCGCACAAAAAGGAACCGAAGGCCGCAGATTGACGACTACTGACCTAGGAAAACTGAGATAATCTACTAAAAATATCATAGTAACCGGTAAATCGATCGGGATTTTTATCCAAGCGTCATGGCCACTCCAGTTTTCTTGCGCATTAAATATTCGTTTGGTTACAACGTTGATGTTATTGTAATTAGTAAACTTATGTAAACAACACACCGAGTACATGGCGTGATCTGTAGTCTTGAGACACACAAATTCATTGCATTTCAATAGCTTATTTGAATATGGTCGAATATGATCAAGATCTCAGTATAGTGAAATCACAGTCGTATAAAGTATTAATAGAAATAAATATCTCTTCGCCTTTATAGTTTTAGATGCCCCCCTCTACATTTCTGATAGTCGGAATAAAATTGGGCGAAGATGCTAAAGAGAGTGTAGGAAAATTCGTAATGAATTATTTATTGTAATCTGTTCTGAAGTGAAGATTTCCGTCTTCTGGGTTGTTGCGCTGTCTGGTCGATGTTTACCAACGTTTCAGAGGTCATACTGCCTCCGTCATCAGGGCGATTCTTAGTATGAAGATTTCTGTCTTCACACTCGCAGCTGTGAAAACCTCAAGTCTTACAAGTTCTGAAGTGTTTTTGTATTATTTATAGGTATGATGGGATACTATCAACTTGTTCTAATGACCTGGTTGGTTACTCTGGTGACATCTCACAGAGATTCCTGTAACGACCGCGCCAGTAATGGCGTCAAACTGAACCTCACAGCATCAACGACCGCGCCAGTAATGGCGTCAAACTCAACCTCACAGCGTCGTCATTAACAGAGTTGCCGGCAAATATGAATGGAAATATATCCAAACTTGTTGCGTGCCACAATAAATTATCTGTTCTAGCCAACACCACCTTCAGTTCTACAGGAAAACTTCAAGCAATCATACTTAGATATAATGAGATCCATAAGTTGGAAACCGGAACATTTAGGTATCTTAACGAGCTTCAGGAACTTGATTTGGGCTACAATCTTATTGAGTATGTGGACGAAAATCTGTTTAAATACAGCCGTCTCTATAAGCTTAACTTGGAACATAATTCCATTAGCTATTTTAGTCCGAACATGTTGAAATATGCCAATGATTTTTGGAAACTTACAATCGGACATAATAACATCAGTGAAGTCCATGCATACACATTTTTAAATACTTCTATAATGGAAATAGATATTTCGAGAAATGTCATAAATGTAATAGATCATAAGGTGTTTCAGAATAATGGAAAAATAAGTAAACTGGATATGAGCAGTAATGTGATTTCGGAACTTCATTGCGATATCTTAAAGTCAGCACACGTTCTGAGGCATTTGAACATAAGCCACAATAAAATTATATCTCTTGATGTTAACCTATTTAGTAACAACATTTATCTGGAGATACTAGACTTAAGTAACAATGCTATAGAACATATTAAACCAACAACTTTCAAAAACAACAGTGGACTAGATATTTTGGACATGAGTAACAACAAACTTTTCTCATTACATAAAGATATATTCTTATACAATGTTGGCATTACATCAATAGATATCAGCTGTAACAATATAGGTTACATTCATCCTGATACTTTTAAAGAGAACAAGGAGCTTTCAGTATTGAACATGAGGGAAAACAAGTTAGGAATTAAGGACGAACAAATCTTCTTTCACAACAGTAAACTTCAGATGATTGACTTAAGTAGGAACATAATTGCAACCATTAATCCAAAGACTTTCGTGGGAAATACTGAAATTCGACATCTGAACATGAGTGCCAACATTATCACAGAACTTATCCCAGGTACTTTTGACAATAACAGAAATCTTATCGATGTTGATATCAGCTATAATATGATAACCGATTTGGACCATAAAATATTTTCAGTGATTCCAGTTAAAATCTTAAACCTTCGTGGAAACAAACTGTCAATAAAAGAGAAATACGTGCCATTCTTGAACGCATCTATTTTGGAGAAACTTGACTTGGGTTCTTGTGGAATCACCACATTACCACCCAAAACATTCCAAGGTATGTTGAATCTGAAGGAACTCGCGCTGGATAACAATCACTTGAAACTCCCAGTCCGTTCTGGCCCAGAAAACAACGTATTCAGAAATCTGCATCAGTTGTCAAAACTGGATCTCTCTAGAAATAACATAACAGTAATGAGTTCTAGTTTATTAAATGACACGAATAATTTGAAATTATTGAATTTATCTTTTAATCCTGTAATATGCAACGGCTGTAGAACTGAAGATATTGGGATTTGGTGTAGTACAAGAAGTGTTCAGTGTGTTGCAAGATGTAATTCTGAGGAAGGAACTGTGACATCTGTGAGCTGCATGAATTCCGCATCTAAAAACAAGAGCATGTCGCATAGAGTTGCAAAAGTAAGTGTGCGAAATATTCAGCATCGTAACTCACAATCACAGGTCGTCAATAAGAAAGAGCTGGGTGAAAGTAAAACTGACGTGAGGGGACAAGTCATTTCTGTTGCGGCGTTTGTATCTCTGGGGGTGTGCTGTGCCCTTATTTTAACTGGATCTGTGCTGGCGGTCATCATTACAAGAAGACGACGAAGGCGGGAGAGAAGTCGTCATTACCTGGACTAATGCCTAATTAATGAATTTTAAACAATGGCCGCGCGGGCTTTGGGCGATCGGTTCTTGGGGCCGTCGGTTCGAATCCCGCTCAAGGCATGGATGTAGGCCATACGACGAGCTGATTACTTGTACGTGCAAGCAGTCACACCAAATGTCTAAATAGATTAAGACGTCGAGGTCCTTCAAGGACTGTAGAGCGCAAATAAATCTGTACGTCTAACCTCTCACTCTGAGTTCTTAAGTACCTTCTGCCAAAGAGGTTTTGATGAAAAAGTCAAGAAACCAAATCGTAGCGTAATCAATTTATTTAAATTTAACTGAACTGCAATAATTGTTCACTTTTGGCCCCGGAGACCTTCTAACTCAGTTTTGTCGTGTTTTTACTCTGCATTTTCAAGCAGGTGCCGTGGTAATAAATCAGGCCACGACCTTTTTAGACTTCTTATCAGACACGTCAAAGTGTTGTCAGAGTATGGTGCAGTGAGAGAAATTATCTTCATTTAGGGATGGAAAGTACGCTGCATTGCCATGCTATTTATCCCATTTGTGTTTCATGTCGTCAAAAGTTTCTTTTTGTATCTTGTTTCTACGTGTGTATGTGAATGTGAATAGTGTATGCTGCTATCATGTGATTCATTTGTAATAAAATCCTATTTCAATGATAAAATTGTCTTCTAATATTAGTCTTGTGATTATGAGAGTGTTGCAATGGGTAAACAGTTTTGTGACAATGGTTGTTTAGTCATTAAACATAATTATTGTGAAGATTTCTGTCTTCTGGGTTGTTGCGCCTTGTAGTATGGTAGATGTTTACCATCGCCCTGATGACGGAGGCAGTATGACCTCTGAAACGTCGGTTAACATCGACCAGACTACACGGCGCAACAACCCAGAAGACAGAAATCTTCATACTCACCGCTGTGAAAACCTCAAATCATACATAATTGTTGTGTTGGACATTACCCATTATCTGGGATAGGATTGTTTCATATACACGAAGTTTTGAGATTTTCGCGAAATTTGAATATTTTTACAGTAAAAGAGCGAAGAATAAAGTGATAACAAATAACCAAGGGGTGAAAATAAAATTAATTCTTGAAACGTCGTGTATGTTAATTTCGTATTAGACATTTTACTTCTTAAGCATAATTTTTGTGTAAGACATTTGCAGTAGATATTTTACAGTTTACTGTTTCATTTTTTTTTATAAAATAACTTCCTTAAATTACATTAACCTTTGATACTCCTTTCAACCGCAAATTCTCTATGCGTTCGCAACGAATGCGCCTAATGTGAAAATGTATTTGTTAACTTGGCTGTGTGTGCGTGTGTCCATCTGTCCGCTTGTAACAACTCAAAAACCACTGAAAGAATATCCATGATTTTTTTGTCAACATCTCCCAAACTTGTTAATCCAGGTGTTAGCCAGTTAGAGCAGATTTCAATAATGTCGGCATTATTCAACATGACCTATGCAGTATTTTGAATTTGGCAGTCAACGTTGTGTTTCTTTTGCAACTTTTTGCGAAGGAATGGGAGCGGATCATAAAATTATCTTGTTTCACACGAAGTCCGCTAGTTGTCGAAAGGAAATATGCCGAGTAGCCTCTACGAACTCAAGCATGAAGTGAAAATTATTTTCAAGGTCAGAAAAAAGAATTGTATGGTGCTTTCACACACGAAATGTTTCAGCTTTCGCTGACGTGTCTTGTTGTTTCTGAGGTTATCAATTACCTAAATTTGAAACTGAAAGGAAACTTCATTGCCAACTCAGCTTTCACGTAGAAAATTCGGCTTTAGAAGAACTGAATCAAACTGGAAGCTTTTCATTGTTCTCTCATCTCGGATATTCGTTCTCTGTGATTCTACCTTTTGAAATAGTGTCAGTGATGTCAAGAGTTATCGGGGGCCGGTTTCCTTTGCGTGGGCAGGATGTTTGGCTTTAGACTAGCCGGGTGATGTCTTCAACAGGTCTACGCATCTGTCTGGGAACTCCCCACGCCAGAATTATTTAGGAGTCCTGCTTCTTATTCGGGAGGTCCCATGTTCAAATCTCGGGTCGGAGACCTTGTATTCTGTTTTCGTGGTATTATTCTCATATTGGCAATTTGCCTGGTCAGTCAGTACCTTCAAAATGGCGAAGGGAGTAGAAGATTAAAATTTAACTGACAATCAAATCGAATATAAATTTCGAATATGTTTTGTTGTCTGAAGAATCTGAGGCGTTTATATTAAAAAAAACATAATATTTCTTCGATTCCTCGAGGTGTGTTTCAAAATAACATCAATGTAGTTGTTTTAGACTTGAGTGATAATAGCGACCGCACTTTAGACAGAGGCATTTTTCAGCGTCATTGTTTACTTTCTTACCTGCAATAGAAGGCAACCCAAAATCGTTTCTGTCTCATTTGTTGTCCTTTTGCATTGTATAAATTCTGTCCATTCTGTAATACTTTATCAAAGAATTCCTTTTCTGGATTATAAAGAAAACTTTACAACGGTGATGGATTTATTACCTTAATTCACAGGGATCATGTTGTTATACGCAATGTTTTGCTGTCTAAATTTCGTATGTTGCAATACGCGGAGCTTGACTGTCTCCAATTTGCACTTTGTAAGTACGTACTCCGGAAAGCCTGTCTTTTGTTACTATAATCGGCGGTCCGTGTGGTTCTGGAGCGTTGAGTCTGGGGCATATGTATGACGTTCTAAAATGTAACAGAATCCCGGATCTAAGAACCGCGGAGGAAAAGAAGACCAATGGGCAAAGAAACTCCGATCTATATGTTCTCACATTAGTTACGTTTGACACCGACACTAAATCCACTAATTAATTAAGTGCCAATGCTGACGTATTTAATGGTTTGGTTTATTAAAATGCCTTTATTTTATTCGCTGAATTTGTACAGAGATCTTTTTGGGACGTCCTGAAGTAGGCATAAAACAAGGTCGTATTTGTAGGGGAGAATTTATGTTCCTTCCCCTTTAAATACTCATCGACCTGATCATGGAGGCAGAATGTACCTCTAAGATCCCGCTAAACTTTTACCAGGCTACACGGCGTAACAATCGAGAAGACAGCCATCTTCAGATGATGAAACAAGTATTTGGAAAATTTGTTTCGTAAGAAAGGTGCGTTATTTTCCTTTTTGTGTTTAATTCTTTTTATTTACGTTTGTTCTTCATGTTCCTTATTTTTTCCTTTTTTCCGGTCTTTTCTTCTTGCAATGAAATCACTAGCAGAACTTCCTGTTTCGATTTTTCAAGTTGTCTCAACCTTACGAACCACTTTTCCAGCAAGAGTTTCATGATAGAACTCTATTTGGAAAAGCGCAGTTTTCTGTACGGAGACAAAAATCAGACGCAAGACTACGATCCTTGCCCTTATCCTGCGAATGAAACGCGTTGCTTGATTTGGGGACATGCTTGGGCTAACAGGTTCTGGTGTCTTGGCTAGTGGCCTTGACGTGTTGAGGACTGCTAGCTGTTCCTGGCTGAAGGAGGCTTCAGTCAGATAATTTCTTTGCATAAAATAAACTGTGGTTGGATGGATGTCTGGGGGGTTGAACCCAGGAACGTTGGATCGCATTAATTTGTTCGCAAGCTAGCCAGGTGGTCAGTCATCCCTGACCTCAGCCGGTCCATGTTGCTTAACCTAGGCGTGTTTCTTTGGATCAATGGGGGAAAAATTTATAAAATTTAATATCAGTCTAACGTAACTGTTAAACAGGCCTAATGCTGTTAAGACAAAGTACAATTGAAAGTGGAAGGTCTACACTGAAATTTTGTTGCATGAAATTTATTTTGGTTTATATTCGTCCAACAAAACTCCGTCTTCATGAACTATAAACTTTTTCAAACGGCCTCCATCCTTACACAGATGACTCCAGTGCACATCCTAAGATCCATTTAATTATTTCATGCTCAAATCTACGATTAGGTTCTCTGATTCGTTTCTTTTCTTCAAGAAGCTGGCTGTCTTTTGGGTTGTGGCTGGTAAGCCTCTACCAGAAAACATAGCACTACAAACCAGAAGACAGCTTTCGAAAAACACGTATATGTCGTTAAAGTACAAATCTACACTCTTCCGAAATCCAGCCCTACTTATTTTACCTGTCTTCGGTCATTTCTAATTACAAAAATGAACTACAGTTTCCTGTAATGTCGCATGACACAAACAAGTAAATTCAACATCTTTAACGGTTACAGTTGCACTAAAGAGAACTTAATTAAGTCCTCCAGACATCTCACATTTCCTGTTGAAAAGTCTGTATTAATAAAACAACAATTGTAGTACAGCTCGTGCAGAGGATATGGGCCACGTGGGACAAGGACTTTGATGGGAATCGATCAGAGCTAACATTCCTGTAGCATCAAACGAGTGGCGCTTCTGCCTTCAAATGGCCACAAATTGGTCATTTCGGCTCTGGCTTCTCCCTGTTCAATTATCCGCACACATGCAGCAGTGCTGATAATCAGTGGCGTTTCCATTAAGCCAGCGTCAACTTTTAAATCGCCGTCAGAAAAGGTAACTAATTAATGACAGTGGAAAATGTACCCTTATGGTGTAACATAAACGCGTATCTTAATTTACCGTTCGTTCATGTGTTTATTTATTACAGAAACAAATCTTTTTTTCGCTGCGCTGTAGGTCCTAAAGTGTTCCACGTTTTATTTCGTATACCCATCTTGTGATCAGTGTGTCTATTGATAAATTTTTTGAAGTTGCATTTAAATTTTTATGATTGTCAGAATCGGGAAGAAAATTTGTGAGGAGAATATCTGCAGGTAATAATTTAATTTTATGTAGGTTTTGCACAAAATAAGTACAGGATATAATATTAAAATTTGAATGTGGATACTTTGTGACGTGTTAAACTTATAGGGTTAGTGTTAGGGTTCTACAACCCATAAGTTGTGGTCTTTAAAATGCTTGTATGAGGAAAATAAGATGAACATTCAAAATTGTAAAAATTTAAAGCTCTGTAAAGCAGCCACAATTTTTACCTACATAAATATCATTGAAAACGTAAAAACGTGTTGACGTTTTTACGTATGTCTTCCGAACACCGTCTCTAAAGCTGGGATGATGAACATAAGAAATGTAGAGTATTAAAAAATATGATCTTGAAAGTTTTTCGAAACGACTGGTTTAAAGAAGAAGAGGGAAAATAAACCTTTTAATTCTCTGGCAATGTCACACCTGAACGTTCGGACACTACCCTGA